TATTGTTTTTCTCCAAAAGGGAGCTGAGCATTGGAAATGACCAATTTTGGGTACGGAAAAAAAAACCCAAAGATTTAGCAACAAATCCTGAAAATCCCTGAAAATTGTGGAGTTGATGAAGAGGTTGCCTGCTAGAGAAGAGATTTTGCCTCTTGCTACTGCAACCAAAATAGTGAGCCAAAAATGAGAAACAAAAGGAAGTGAAACAACAAAATAATTGGCAGCCCTTTTGACCCGTTTTTCACAAACTGAAATGATATCAATATTATACGAATGCAGAAAAAAAAAATGCGAGCGGATGGAGTTTTATGTGCAAAGATATCTAGTTTCCTACATAGGAGGATGACGCCGACCTCCTATCTCTCTCAATCAGTGGCGGAACTGCATATGTCTCTCTGGGCCAGGGATCCGATCCCCGGCCAACCGAGAGGAATATCCATTGGGAGACGATTAAGATCTCTAAGTAGACTATGAGGAAGCCAAAGTATTGAAACTTTGATGATATATATAGAGATAGATCTTCGGCGTCATCTCTCCTGCGTAGGAATCTTTTCAATGCTTTTTTCCGCTGCTTTGCCTCTTCCATTCTTATTTCTAATTTACCAAAACACTGGATTTTATAGAGTCACATAAGAAAGAGCAAAGGGATTGGAAAATGCTAATCTTGTGCTTGTTTTTGAAATGGTCTCGCAGACCGAACTTTTAATTATTAACATAACATTTTTTTTTAATTGTTTTTTTTTTCCTGCAGTAATTGTCGATCCCTTGCCTAGTATTCTGCCATACATAAATATAATTGGAATTTCTTTATAATTATATTTTAGAGGTGACATGCCAGATAAGTCTACAGCTAATTTTTCATTTTAGATTCTGATTTCAGAAGGTTTACGTCAGTTGCTTCCTCAATTAATATTAAGTATTATAGTACTAAAGTATTAATTAATTAGTGCATCCAATGTAAAATATAAATATTTTGGTTTCATCTTGTTTTGGGGTATTTTTCTCTCTTTGATTTCTAATGAATATTGTTTGACAATTTCAAAGCTGGCTAGCTGGACTGAGTACGACTTCAGCAGTGATGATCGTTTCATGAGTAAATAACAAATGGTAAAAATCATTAAACAAATCAACGTTTGATAGGCTATTTTATGTGTTCATATACTAATTAACGAAGATGTGTCGCATGGAAATGGTCAAATCGCACCTCAAGAAAGCTCGTAAAAATACTTGTTCATCGACTTAAAATCTATCGATTGTGAATGGCGAAGTAATCATCATTCTCTCGCAGGGATTTTTGCTAATTTTCTCCCTATCGTTCAAACTTTATCGAATGTCTTTGACAGAACAGGTAAAGAATGATGAATTAATCGCCTTTGCATTGAATTGATTAATGAATTGGATGGAGATCATTATGTATATTAGTTTGTCCAAGTTGATGAAGAACTGATCAACTTGTAGATTTGATAACATACAGGACCGACACAAAAAAAAAAAAAACTCCATCTGACTCAAAATAATTGTCTATATTTAAATAACTTTTTGAGAACGTATTAAACCGAAAAAAAGAAAAAAAAAATACTCTCTTTCTCCAACAATAATCGTCTAGCTTATACTATTTACTTTTTAATATATTTTTTAATACAAGTAAAAATTCGAATTCTACAATTATTACCTTACACAAAAAGAATACCAGCATTTAGTACATGTGGATGGATGTTTTGGTGAAACTACGTTGTCCTGGGAAAGCATGCGGCTTTAAGAAAGTCTAGAGAAAGTGGCCCTTTTGTGGTCATGCAAGCCCTTTTTTAGCACCACGTGTTAGTGCCTAATGCCTAGTGATCCATCTATTAGTCTCCCTCCCATGGCCTATGGTGGATGGGACCGGAGAATGGGTATGGTGGGGGGAAATATTCATCTCTACTGGATGCACAAAGCAACAGGCATTATGGTCTTGTTTGGACAAGGCACTTTTTGTCATTTTGTCTCATTTTACCTATTAAAATATCTCTTAAACACAAATTTCAATACTATTCAAAAAAAAATTTAATTTACTTTTTAAAATTTATTTCAAACTTTATTTTTACACCATTTTTTACACAACCATCCGACCACCTCCGCCGCCGACCGATGGCGGAGGTAGTCCAATGGTGGTCTAAAAATATTATTATTTTATTAAAAATATTACCCAAATAACTTTTTAACTTTTCTCTCAAGACACATTTTAAATCACATCTCAAAACCAAATCAAAAACTAAAACAAAATGTTGGCCGAACAAACCCTATGTAATTGCATGTTCAAGAACAGAACTGAGTCCCAAATTATTTTTCACCTTCAAGAAACGTTTTTTAAAGAAAAAGCACGTTGTGATCAAACTTAAATTGGATCGCTCGCTTTTGAAGATTTTGTCAAGGGATTGGAGATCAAGAAGGTGCAAGAACAACATTGGATTTTAGCACTCGTATCATTTTTTTTGTTATATACTGAGCAAGCTTAACGCTTAGATACAATTAAACAACACGAGCATGGAGTATTGTTCCAAAATATAGCCTATTTAGTACTTGACAAAATATGCAACTCCGGTGGGGCTGAAAGGCCCATTTTGGCTACGTTATCTGCTAGTTCGTTTCAATCTCGTTTGATGAATGAGATTTCAACTATCCAATTTTTCTCCAAAAGTTTGCGTACTCTACTATAGACATTACTTGTTAGGCCTAAACTTGCATTCTCTGTGAGGTTTGAGTTCACTTTTTGAGTTGTCCATTTAGAGTTGGACTCTTGTAAAGCCCAATTAGTCTGCTATTTGTAAACCTAAAAGAACGCCCAGAGTTCGACTTCTTGTACTAGGGTATCTCCTATGTTCGTCGTGAAGCCCATAAATCAATCTTATTATTGTATGTAAACCTTAAAAAAAAAAAAAAGTACTTTAATCTCGGCTTCTCGAATCGAATTATTAAAAAAGAAACACACACGCACAAGTAGTAATTGAAGTTTAGCCTAGTCAATAAGTAATGCACAAGCTTCAGCAGGAACATTGGGTTAGTCACCCTAAAAGTAAGAGCACAAAGCATGATTAATTTGGGCCTACTGGTATATTCATCAAACCCAGCTAATAATATTCCAGCTCTTTAGCCCATTGCAATAGGAACATTTTCAGGTGTAGGATCTCAAACTTGCCATGAAGCTAGTGCAGTCAAGTTGAATAATCTGGTTTCAGAAAAAAAAAAAAAAAAACAAACAGAAAGGTTGAATAATCTTAATTTGGAAAATGATGTTATCAGGTTACGGTGTGAAGTTGTCAAAAGGAAATGGCGCAAGTGATAAAGAGTTAGGCATCCAACCCGAAAGTCCTAGGTTTGAAACCTCACGATATCTAAATGTTATCTTTTTTTATAGTTTGCATATGAGAACTCTTTAAATATTCGATGGACGCGCGGAAAGAGGCGTTGCAGAAGTTTTCCCTTATCGATTTTTGACACAACAATACTCTTTTTTCCCCTCGAAGTAAGAAAATCATATTTATTCAATATTTTTGTGAAGTGGAGGAGTACTTATTTTTGTTGACTTTACTCAAGTTTGAGATCAGATTCATATCTTTCTCATTTTGTTTGGATTTTATATTTAATCTGCATAGCACTAGCACACTAATCGTGATGTGTGTCATGGACCTTAAAAAAACACAACATTTTGGATGGAAAAATTTTAGTGGAACTTATTAAAATAATTTTATAATGGGAAAAAAACAATGATACAAAAGTTAGATACTATTTTAACCTCCAAATCTAATTTTAATGAATCTATATTGAGACAAAGAATCCTATATTACCATCATAAAGGATCTATTACCTATTTATAATAGAAGTCCAAGTTGCTTTTGACATATCGGAAAGTATGAAGATGAAAGTCATCAATGGAAGAAAAATGATTTAATTCATGGTCTATTTCGGCAGTTAACATATCAAGCTACATACGTAATAGTAAATACAAGGATTACATATTTACTCGCTGTAACAAACTAAAATATAATTTTTCAAGTAATCTCTGATATGATAATTAGGATTGCAACTTTTCTAAAACTAAATTGAAAACTAGATTATGATATTTTATATGAATGGAGTTTGAATACTTAAGGTTGAATTTTACGAGAAATTATTTAGTGCAGCTACTGTACCACGTAAGATTGTGCAGTCAGACATAATAATAGGGGTAAGGTAATAATTTTCGAGGGAGGGAGATAATTTCTACGGAAGTTATACCACCAAAATAGAGGTACTAGTATTTGTTGCACTAAAAATCAGAATACAACAACTGTACTCAATAATTTTTCGAATTTTACATCATGAATATCCACTCTTAAACTTGGTTGTAATAAAAGAGAATAAATACATACCAAGGAGAAATTGGTTTAACATAATAAGAAAATCAAGTTGAGCTAATATCGACATATAAAATTTTGATCTTAAAAAAAAAACAAGACAAAATGCTTACCTCGAATGATTTGTCTATTTAAGTTGAATTTCATATTCTTACATCAGATTAAAACTGTGCATATAAGTTGTAATCGGCAGATACAACTTTAATATATATATCATTTTTTTATTAGAAAAATAGCCCACATTAATTTTTTATATTTGTACTATATGAATATCAAAAATCAACATGAACTATTTTTCTAAGACGGAAGGAGTATTTAATTTTCGAAAAGCCATAGACTGAAAAAATTATTGACATTTGGAATAATAAAAATATCAAAAATTAATTTGAACTATTTTATAGGCACAATCTTCAAAACGCTCTTAAATAAAGAAATGATTGAAAGGAATAATTTTAATACTTTTAATAATACAAATATTAAAAATCAATTTGAGGTAGTATTTTTATGAATCGGGAGGAGTATACACTCTTCAAAAACCTCCGTTGGCTAGTTGGACACTATTTTTCACTAAAAAGTGATTTAAAAATGGTTCACTTCATAGTAAAAGAATAGAAAACCTACTAGTCATTAGGATGATAATGGCTGCTATCTCCGTTTCCAGCAATAATACTGTACCTTAAGACCGGGGGAGAGTAGGTTTTGGTGTATTGTTTGGTCCCTTTCTTTTTACCCCCGACATCAATGCCTTTTTTCATTATTCTTTTTACTGTCATCACTTACCACCGTATATTAAATGTAGCAGGTGTTACTTTAAATATCTGAGCTCCGCGTCAGAATCCATTAAAAAAAAAAAAGATCAAATAAAGAAAAAAAAAAAGCCCCAATTTTTGTATACATTATTTCTCCAGGAGATTAAAAGCAGTAAAGAAGAACACTTTATTGACCCACCACCAAAGATGGCTCCGATCTTGAACACACAGTCCACCACCGGACTCCCTCTTTGCCTTTCTGGGATCACTCATCCTGTTGCTCTCTCCAAAGAGTAATAATTATTCTATACAATGTTTTTTTTTTGTGTGTGTGTGTGTTTAGAGCTGTGGTGCAATTAATTATCCCCAATTTCTGATTATTTTCTCATCTGGGATTCAATTGTTGTTTTTATTAGGATGGCAGATCATGATCGCAGAAGAAAAGGGCTCAAGAAATCGAGATTGAGGCTTGAAAAATTGTTGCATGCAGTTGCTTCCGCGGATCAGGATGATTCTTATTTCTTCGGAGCTACTGTTCAAAGGATCCAACAAGATCTTCAAGGACTTTCTGAAGAAGTCAGCGGTGATGTTGCCGGAGATCTGGCTGCCGTTGCACTTTTACTGCAGCAGCTCTCATGCATTTCTTTATCTTCTTGTACAGCCAAGGCTGCCTAATTATAATCTTTTCCAGTTCGATTAGTAGGAGGAGTACTATTTTAGAGGGTTTTAGTTGTACTGTTAATCATTTTATATCTATGGCAATGGATTCTTTCTTTCTTGGTCGGTTAATTTTGGAACAAAAGTGGTTGGATTTGCTTTTTTTCTGCATACAAAATTAAAAAATAGGGCAGGTTCTTGATCTGGAATGGGATGGAGAGGAACGATTAGTACTAATAAATAATGGGAATTCGAGATCTTGAGCTGGGCTTTCTGACAAAAAAAAAAACATTCGGCCAAGATAACTGGGTTTTTTGCTCAGGTCGGTCTGAGAAGTTAACAGCGGCTGAGAACTGGACTGACTGATCGGAGACGGAGGGAACGATCCGGCGGAGATACGGCGGAGTGAGAGAGCTGAAAGTAAGAGGAAAGACCAAAGCTTTGTCGTTTTGCGAAACTTTACTTGCCACCTGGCAAATAGGGCCCCTTTTTATTTTATTTTTTTGCCCCTTTTTCTTCTTCGAGGTTAACAATTCGGATAATTCTGTATTAAAAAAAGAAAAAACACACAATACACTAAGCGAACAAACTTTTTATAGATTAAGTAATTGTATTATTTTCTCTCTAGTACTGTCAATCACGAATCTAATCGAGTCTGCACATTTTGTTTAACTCAATTAATCAAATGTGCACTTCCAATCTCCAAATGAATACTCTAAAATAAAAGTAGTATTATCTACGTACCCAAAAAAAATAGTCCGCATTAAATTTTTAAATTTGTACTAAAAACATTACAAAACTCAAAATCCAATGTGGACTAATTTATTTGGAACGGAGAGAATATTAATTAAAATACTACCAGGGCGTTTTTCATGATTAAATTCTGAGTTTTTGAAGGATGCAAGTAAGAATCAAGTGATAAAAGTATTTTTTTAGTGAATTGCAAAAACGGGGAACTCATTATTTTAGTGTAAGGAATGAGGGAAGCTTGATTAAGATTTCTTTTGAAACTGATTAATTTCTGCTGTTAATGCTCTCTAAAATCATGTTGTGCTTAGACAATACACCTGAAAGTAACAAAAACTCAGTTCCAATGTAACGTAACAGCATAATTATTTAAGGAATTTGACCGCTGTAAATTATAATGTATACAATAAAGAGGGGAAATGAAGGTCTCAGGTAAGAAAAAATAAAAATAAAAAGAAAACCTACTAAACAACCATGAAAGAATGAAAAACACACGAGCTACTTCTTCAAATTGAGCAAGCCTCAGTTCAACGTTGAGAAGGTCTTACCCTTGAGATAATGTAATGTAAATATGTTCAAATTAATTTGCTTATCTAACATTTCTTTATCTTTTTTTGGTAAATGATGATACATGTAGTGAAAAGTTGACCAAGGAAATTTACAAAAAATGAGTTAGATAAATCTTACTCCCTCCCGTCCTTAATATAAAGTATTTTGATTTGTCTTAGATTTAACCTAGTATTTATTTTTGATTGACAAAAAAATCTTAAAAATATTTCATAACAATCAAGAGAATACAACGAATGCGAAAATATATTTTTAAGATTGTTTCGTTAATAAAAAATACGTACTAAGTTAAACTTAGGACAGAATCAAAATGTCTTATATTACAGACAGGAGAGAGTAATTATTTCCTTACTTTTAAATGCCTAAATCCTTAAATAAAAGATATAAATATGAACAGTTGTAATTCATTATCCGTTAAAAATTACCTGTAAATCTTTTGACACCTATCATTAGGCGGCCAAGAAGATGCGTGACAAACTCCTCAATTTCTTGAACCTTCTCTGTCAATTGTCTACTTCTTTTTGTGGATAGTGTTCCTAAAAGACTAGAATGCCTGCTTTTTGTGTTGAAGCACAAATCTTTGGAAACCAACATGACAAAATTTCCGGCCACCATTTTCCCCTGCAACAACATAGAAAGTGTGATTATTTGATCCTATATTGGAGGCTTAAAAGTTGAGACGGTACTTGTACGGCACACAGTATAAATTGATTCAATAAGTAAAGACCAAAACTAAAATTAATACCCCCATATATCAGACACCTTGTCGAAGTGCAAAGACTTATGAACCAATCACATGCCACTGTCAAAAATGACCAGTGAGTTAAAAATAAAATGGTCAAATTAGGCTTTATCACTTTTGAGATTTCACTTTTAGTACAATTTGAACTAAAATTATTATTCAGGAGATTTCACTTTTAGTGTAATTTGAACTAAAAATGAAAACCTAAACTAGACAATAATTATGGGACAGAGGGAATATCAATTAAAGAAAAACGAGAAAACACAACTGTGACATGGGGAAAAGTGATGTTACTATCTGTGTTACTTCCCCTCTTTCCCTAAACACTCCGAAGTTACAAATTAATCGACATGATACCACTTTGGAGAAAAGGGAAAAATGTCATCCATACCAGACGAATGAAAATAAAATAATTAGATTGAATAAAATAATTATTTTTCGTACCAAAAAATAGTGGAATTAGTTTTTCTTTTTTTTTTTTAATAATAGGATGGAATTAAAAATAAAAATTTACAAGAGCTCAGTCCAGGAACCAACCCAAGCCTAAAGTTTGAAGACGGGCCCAATAGATCCTGAACTCCAAAGAGAAACGGCATCGCGTTAGCATCTAAGAAAATACCGCCAATCTCATTAATCGAAGGGTAATTTTAGTCATTTAGCGCAGCCAGGCCAACCCTAAAATCAGAGTTTCGGCCCAATATGCTCCAAACTAAAACGGGAGTATTGCCTAACCTCCAAGAAAACGCCGCCTTAACAAAAAATCCAAGGGCATTTTAGTCACGAGGAATTATACCTGAAGCCCTAAGCCAGCTCATGTCTTCTGCCTATAAAAACAGAGAGAAACCTCCCTCAAACCCTATAGCCCTCCATATTCCTCTCAGTGAGCTTTTGCTGCCTGCCTCCATCGATATCTCAATTCTCTTTGTCGCTTAAGGTTAGATCCTGTTCTTGTTTATTATCTTCTGATCTGATTTTGATTCGAATTGTGATTGCTTTTGTTCCAGTTATTTGGTACGATTCTCTGATTCTGTTTCGGAATTCGATTTGTTTCAATTCCTTTTACTTGTAAGAATAATCATCTGATTTCGATTCGGTTTTTGGATTTAATATTTTCCTTGCCTATAATTATGTAATCGTCTGCTGTTGATTTGAATTGAGGTATATGTTTATGCATGGTTGTTTTTTGACGGTGTTTTACGAATTTGTTAAGTTTAAAATTACTGGTGTTGAAGTGTCCTCAAGAATTCAAATCTTCTGTTTGGATTGTAAGATCCGAGTCTTCCACTCGTGGATCTATTTTGCTGTTGATGCTTTGATGGATTCTGATTTTGGCGTTTTGTGGTTGCATGTTCTTTTATTCTGATAAGCAATTGATCTCACTGTTAGGTCTGATTTTGTTGAATTATTCATGTTTGATGTCTGAATTTTGATCTAATTTGTTCGATTAGGCTGAATTTATGATAATTTATTTTTGAATTGGTCAACAGAATCCCTGGTTTGAGGACTTTTATATTGCATGTGCCTTGAGATTCATGTTTTCTGTGATAAATCTAAATAATTGTTTCCTTTCTCTGGTTATGTTCTGAGGTTTAGCCTGTCCTGTGAGATTGCTTTTTATTATTACTTAATTTTGTTGCTCCTCAGTTTCAGGTTCAGGATGGGTAAAGAAAAGACTCACATCAACATTGTTGTTATTGGACATGTCGACTCTGGCAAGTCCACCACCACTGGTCACTTGATCTACAAGCTTGGTGGCATTGACAAGCGTGTGATTGAGAGATTCGAGAAGGAGGCTGCTGAGATGAACAAGAGGTCATTCAAGTATGCCTGGGTTCTTGACAAGCTCAAGGCTGAGCGTGAGCGTGGTATTACCATTGATATCGCCTTGTGGAAGTTTGAGACCACCAAGTACTACTGCACTGTCATTGATGCTCCTGGACATCGTGACTTCATCAAAAACATGATTACTGGAACCTCCCAGGCTGACTGTGCAGTTTTGATCATTGACTCCACCACTGGTGGTTTTGAGGCTGGTATCTCTAAGGATGGTCAGACCCGTGAGCATGCTTTGCTTGCGTTCACCCTTGGTGTGAAGCAAATGATCTGCTGCTGTAACAAGGTAAATATCTTTGATATCCTTGCATCTATATATGTTGTTGAAGGTTAATTCTGTTACTGTAGTTGTAGTTTTTTTTCCTGACTAATTATGCACTGTATTCTTTTAGATGGATGCCACCACCCCCAAGTACTCCAAGGCTCGTTATGATGAAATTGTTAAGGAAGTTTCATCCTACCTGAAGAAGGTGGGATACAATCCTGACAAAATTAACTTTGTCCCAATCTCTGGCTTTGAGGGTGACAACATGATTGAGAGGTCTACCAACCTTGATTGGTACAAGGGTCCAACTCTCCTCGAGGCTCTTGACCAGATTCAGGAGCCCAAGAGGCCTTCTGACAAGCCACTCCGACTTCCCCTTCAGGATGTTTACAAGATTGGTGGTATTGGAACTGTCCCTGTTGGTCGTGTTGAGACTGGTGTTCTTAAGCCTGGTATGGTTGTTACCTTTGGTCCCACTGGTCTGACAACTGAGGTTAAGTCTGTTGAGATGCACCACGAAGCTCTTCAGGAGGCTCTTCCGGGTGACAATGTTGGGTTCAATGTTAAGAACGTTGCTGTGAAGGATCTTAAGCGTGGATTTGTTGCATCCAACTCAAAGGATGACCCAGCTAAGGGAGCTTCCAGCTTCACTTCCCAGGTCATCATCATGAACCACCCTGGTCAGATTGGCAATGGTTATGCCCCTGTTCTTGACTGCCACACCTCTCACATTGCTGTCAAGTTCTCTGAGATCTTGACCAAGATTGATAGGCGTTCTGGTAAGGAACTTGAGAAGGAGCCCAAATTCTTGAAGAACGGTGATGCTGGTATGGTTAAGATGGTTCCCACCAAACCCATGGTGGTGGAAACTTTCTCAGAGTACCCACCTCTCGGTCGTTTTGCTGTGAGAGACATGAGGCAGACCGTTGCTGTTGGTGTGATCAAGGCTGTTGACAAGAAGGACCCTACTGGAGCCAAGGTCACCAAGGCTGCTGTCAAGAAGGGAGCCAAATGAATTGTGCAGGTTCATGCTGGTGTTTCTTCGAAGGAAATCTACTACAATAATGTGTCTGTTTACTTCTCTATTGCTGCTTCTGCAGTTTCTTTGATGATTTGTGTTTTATGTCGTAGTTTTCTGCCCTGTACGTCGTGTAGCCTTTCCCAGAATTGGGTGCTCGACAGGCGGTGGCGAATGCTGCTGTTTTGAGTCATTTTGTTAAGTTTGGCTTTGAATTGTTACTTGAGTAGCTGTACTCAAGGGTTTGTTTTTCGTTTAAGGATATCTGTTATTGAATATTTTGGATCTGTAGTATTTTATACTTTTATTACTGTGTTCTGTTCCTCTCTGCTTTTAGACTGGCCGTGTTGCTCTCTTTTAGAAGAAGTTACTTTATCCTTGTGTTAAAATGACTGGCAACAAGTGAAACCTTTGGAAAAGATGTCACGGATTATTTTAGCATCTGAGGTCTTCAAAAATATTGAGAATCTGTTTTTTAGTCAATCGGTTATTAATAATCTGTTTTTTAGCATCTGAGGTCTTCAAAAAAAAAATCGGGTATGTGCATGTCTCTCTCTCGTCTTCCGTGTGGTAGAACTTCTATGAATTAATAATGTTTGGGATTACCAAAATTAATTAATTTGGCAAATTATTAAATAATTAATAAATTATTAAATAATCTTCATTAAATTATTTAATTTACAATTGCCTACAAATTAAACTTTTTTAAATACTAAAATTTCATACAAAGTTCAACTCATTTTTAGGGTTTAAAAAACAAGTTTCAATAATCACATTTAACTAAATATCTATAATTATCATAATTATCTTCTTATATTTATGGTATTATTAATTTATAATATTGTTGGGACCTGTAGAAATTAGAAAATTTTCTGAAATATAATTATTTTATCATTTTATCGATTTTTTTTTCACTTTTTATATTGGTTCCAAATTGGACCAAAAAAAATTATTAATTACTAGAATTTATTAGTTTATAGATGATTAATTTACCGACATTACCATAAATGCAAATAAAATTAGTTTTAATTAAATATCACAGGAATATTTTTCTAATAATAAATAATTAGTGCATTTCCTCAGCATTTGAAGGAAATACAATGCTGGAGCTCGTCCTCATCACACTTTAAATCATTAGTGCATTTCCTCAAGTCCAAGAAGTTTACAAGAAGAAGAATACTCTTTCGTCCAAAAACGAGTTCAACAACTGCATTTTCTAACGTGATTTACAATCATACATCAGTTATGGCGAATTTTCTAAATGGGAAAATGAACGTTTAAGTCCTAGCAAGCAAGTAGCAAATAGTCCCTCTGTCTCAAAATTATTGTCTACTTTGAGATTTCACTTTTAATACAATTTGAACTAAAAATGAAAATCCAAACTGGACAATAATTATGAGACGGAGGGAGTAGCATATTTGGTCTTCCGCTTAGGATTTTATCTCAATATTTTGCTTTGTTTGTTTGTTGTTTCATTTTACTTTTTGTCTCATTTAATCTCTTAAATACAAAATTCAATACATTATCTAAACATCAATTTAACTTATCTTTTAAATTATTATAAAGTTCAGTATCGATGGTCACTAAATTATTGTAAAGTTTTAAGTTTGGTAACTTAAATATTGTAAATTTTAGTACCGATGGTCACTAAACTATTTTAAATTTAAGTTTGGTCACTAAATTATCCCACTTTCAAAATGGTCACCATAATATAATACTTTTCAAAAATTATCACTAAACTACATTTTAAATCTCCTCCGAAATCCAAATGAAAAACTAAAATAAAACGTTGTCTAAACAAGTACTGAATCTCTCCAATTTAGTTCTAAATAGTAAACAGTTTCTGATTCATTCATTTTAGGCAGTTTGGTGAAAAACTTATAGCTTAATATAAAAATTAAGGTATTCATTATTTTACAGAACATTAAAACAGTATGATCTTATAAGGATATAATAATTAAAAAGCTCTAATTTTACGGAAAAAAAAATAATAATAAAAAATTCAGATAATCAAAAGTAAGAAGTTCCTAAACATAATATTCAAACCTCTTTTCACATTTTTCCATGAACGTCCTATATATTTCATTTTTTCATACTTATTGTAGTTATATTCTCATGCTGGTCAAAGAAAAAGAACAAAAGATCTGTAATAATCACCTGTCTTTTTTTCTTCTTCTTTTTTTTCTTTCTAGTGTTTCATTTGAAATAGTATTTTTCTTTTCCATGTTTTGTTTTATCATTTTTTTGAGTCCAAGCGAAAAATTAACGTAGCTTGATTTTACTTTACGCAAGTTGTAAAATAAACTAAAAAATCCCTATAAAATTGTACAAAGTAAAATCAAATTACGCAAAATAAAATCAAGCTATGTTTAACAATATTCATTTTTGTCTTGCTATCAATATGTTTGAGATGGACAAAATCCTTCCGATTGCAAAATTCAATTGCTAAAAAATTTGTAAAATGATCTCACTAAAAAAAGGTAGCATCAAAGTCGCCATTCAAAAAAAAAAAAAACAACAACAAAAAAATCGCACCAAGAAAGACGATTACCCATTTTGCAAAAACCCCCCCAAAAAAAAAAAAAATCACCCGTCACCGATTATAGCAAACCAGAAATTTAGTCAAGAACATTTTGCCAAAAGAAAAAAAAGAAATCCGCCGAAAAATTCATAACACCAAAGTTGCCCGATCACACACCAAGAACCAAAAAAAAAAAAAAAGATAGTAAAAAATTCACCAAAAAATTACCTCATTTTTTCCTCTTTCGTGTGTTCTTACACCAAAAAAAGTTAGTGATTTTTTTTTTTATTGTATATTGAAATAATGTGTGAAAATGTAAAAAGAGATGATCTTATAAATAATTTGGAAGAGTTTAGAATTTATGGGTATTTTAATCTATTTTACAAGCAGTACAATGTAAAATTAATTTGCATTTAGCAATTCACAAAATTTATCATAAATGAATTTTCCAGTATTAAAATACTAATTAATAGCTTTGAAAAAAATCAAAAAATATTAAGACAAATCGTAACCTGAGTGATAAATGTTTGGAATGAAACGTTATTTTCCCACTTTCTCAACTGGGTCGTATTTTGGAATTTGGACCATTATTGGGCAATTGCAAAAAATTCCAAGGGTATTTCAGTCAAAGAGCAATTAGAGCTTTTTATATTTATTTAGGGCATCTCCAACGCATCCGGTAAATCGAGCGGACGCGTTGGCTTTAGAAGAGTTTGGTGCCCCGATGGCCTCCGCTCCGCTTCTCCGCCAAAAGAGCTCCGCTTCTCCGCCAAGGCTGAAGGAGCACTGTTCCACCGCTCCTCTATCCTGGTAGCCCACTTTCTTTATTTCTGATTTTTTTAACTAAACTTTTTGGGCCACATTTAGGATTTTTTGTTGGGCTTTGATTTTTATGGGCAAATTTAGTTCACCTGGGCTGTTGTTCCATGACCTTCGGGTTTTCCAAGCATTGTTTTTTATATCTAATTTTTACTTAATTTCTTAAATAGCAAAACTAAAAATATAAATAAACATAATTTATGTGTAATATGTCTTCAATGATCTAAATACATTTTTCATATTTACTAATACCAAATTGTTTAATTTGATTAATGTTCAATGAACAATGTTTGGTATAATTAATTAAATAATATATTGAAAATTTAATTTAATAATCAATAATGTTTTACAATATTGATCATATATCTAAATGAATGCTTTTCACTAATTAAGAACATTAACAGATTAAAAAATACTATTAATTATAAAATAAAATTATTGGTAAAAGAATACACAAAAATATTTGTTTAGAGGAGAATTATAGAGGGAGTGGGTTGGAGATGATCTAAATATGTTGTCAATGATCTAAATATGTTGTCAATGATCTAAATACATTTTTCATATTTACTAATACCAAATTGTTTAATTTGATTAATGTTCAATGAACAATGTTTTGTATAATTAATTAAATAATATATTGAAAAATTAATTTAATAATCAATAATATTTTACAATATTGATCATATATGTAAATGAATGCTTTTCACTAATTAAGAACATTAACATATTAAAAAATACTATTAATAATAAAATAAAATTATTGATAAAAGAATATGCAAAAATATTTGTTTAGAGGAGAATTATATAGGGAATGGGTTGGAGATGATCTAAATATGTTGTCAATGATCTAAATACATTTTTCATATTTACTAATACCAAATTGTTTAATTTGATTAATATTCAATGAACAATGTTTGGTATAATTAATTAAATAAGATATTGAAAATTTAATCTAATAATCAATAATATTTTACAATATTGATCATATATCTAAATGAATGCTTTTCACTAATTAAGAACATTAACAGAAAAATAAATTTATTGGTAAAAGAATATACAAAAATATTTGTTTAGAGGAGAATTATAGAGGGAATGAGTTGGAGATGATCTAAATATGTTGTCAATGATCTAAATATATTTTTCATATTTACTAATACCAAATTTTTTAATTTGATTAATGTTCAATGAACAATGTTTGGTATAATTAATTAAATAATATATTGAAAATTTAATCTAATAATCAATAATATTTTACAATATTGATCATATATTTAAATGAATACTTTTCACTAATTAAGAACATTAACAGATTAAAAAATACTATTAATAATAAAATAAAATTATTGGTAAAAGAATATACAAAAATATTTATTTAGAGAAGAATTATAGAGGGAATGGATTGTAGATACTGACACTGTTAGAAATTGTAAAACTAGTGGGATTTCACTATAGCAACTCTATATATAGGGACGTTGGGTTGGAGATGCCCTTATATCATAAACCCAGAGAAGAAACCCTATACGGCTATACCAATTTTACCGTCATTGAGCTTCTGCTGCCTGCCTCCCTATCTTCCCAAGCATATTCTCTGCTTCTCCAGGTTATATCCTTGCTTCTTTTTGTTTCTACACCAATTTTTTATTCTGTTCATCTACGCATTGTCTGATTGTTTAGGTTTTCTCGGTTCGTTTAGTCTATGACATGTTCTTGAACGATTTTACGCTTTGTCAATAATCGTCTGTTTTTTTTCTTTTCTTTTTCTGCATTATGGTTTTCTTTTTTTAAGATTCAGTTAGAAGTTGGATGTTTTCGCTCGTAATAATTTTTCTATCAAATTGTGTTATTCAGGATTAGTTTGTTTAAAAATTACAGCAGTTTTTATATATAAATTTAGTTATTCGGTGGATTATATGGTTAGAGGCTTTGATAGAATAGGATCTTTTCTACTGTTGATGTTTGATGGATTTGTTTTTTTATGTTTACTAGTATCTGTTGATTCTGAAGCCCTTGATATCACTAGTTTTTATAAGATAAAGCTTGAAGATCATGTTTGACAAATCTGAAATTCTGATGTAGTTTACTCTTTTTGGATTATCATATTGGTAATTGTTTCGAGAAGATTGTTGCCGGATGAATTGAGGTTTAATCTTTTTGGTGGTGTAGTTTCTTGGACGTGGACTTAGTAAGAATTTCTATTGCTTGTTAGTTTCAGGTTCTTTAGGAGGATGGGTAAAGAAAAGGTTCACATCAACATTGTTGTCATTGGACATGTCGACTCTGGCAAGTCCACCACCACCGGTCACTTGATCTACAAGCTTGGTGGCATTGACAAGCGTGTGATTGAGAGATTCGAGAAGGAGGCCGCTGAGATGAACAAGAGGTCATTCAAGTATGCATGGGTTCTTGACAAGCTCAAGGCTGAGCGTGAGCGTGGTATTACCATTGATATTGCCTTGTGGAAGTTTGAGACCACCAAGTACTACTGTACTGTCATTGATGCCCCTGGACATCGTGACTTCATAAAAAACATGATTACTGGAACCTCTCAGGCTGACTGTGCTGTACTGATCATTGACTCCACCACTGGTGGTTTTGAGGCTGGTATCTCTAAGGATGGTCAGACCCGTGAGCATGCGTTGCTTGCTTTCACCCTTGGTGTGAAGCAAATGATCTGCTGCTGTAACAAGGTAAATATCTTTGATATCCATTCGCAGCTTTATATGATGTTGATGAAGGTTTTGGTATATCTCAGTAACTCCTGTGTTGGTTCTTTTTTCTGACATGTTCTTTGCACTTGTGTTATCTTTTAGATGGATGCCACCACCCCCAAGTACTCCAAGGCTCGTTACGATGAAATTGTTAAGGAAGTTTCATCCTACCTGAAAAAGGTTGGATACAATCCTGACAAGATTAACTTTGTCCCAATCTCTGGTTTTGAGGGTGACAACATGATTGAGAGATCTACCAACCTTGATTGGTACAAGGGTCCAACTCTCCTTGAGGCTCTTGACCAGATTCAGGAGCCCAAGAGGCCTTCTGACAAGCCACTCCGACTTCCACTTCAGGATGTTTACAAGATTGGTGGTATTGGAACTGTCCCTGTTGGTCGTGTTGAGACTGGTATTCTTAAGCCCGGTATGGTTGTTACTTTTGGTCCGACTGGTCTGACAACTGAGGTAAAGTCTGTTGAGATGCACCACGAAGCTCTTCAGGAGGCTCTTCCCGGTGACAATGTTGGGTTCAATGTTAAGAACGTTGCTGTGAAGGATCTTAAGCGTGGTTTTGTTGCATCCAACTCCAAGGATGACCCAGCCAAGGAAGCTTCCAGCTTCACTTCCCAGGTCATCATCATGAACCACCCTGGTCAGATTGGCAATGGTTATGCCCCTGTTCTTGACTGCCACACCTCTCACATTGCTGTTAAGTTCTCTGAGATCTTGACTAAGATTGACAGGCGTTCTGGGAAGGAGCTTGAGAAAGAACCCAAGTTCTTGAAGAATGGTGATGCTGGTTTTGTTAAGATGATTCCCACCAAGCCCATGGTGGTGGAGACTTTCTCTGAGTACCCACCACTGGGTCGTTTTGCTGTGAGAGACATGAGGCAGACTGTTGCTGTTGGTGTGATCAAGGCTGTTGACAAGAAGGACCCTACTGGAGCCAAGGTCACCAAGGCTGCTGTCAAGAAGGGAGCCAAATGAACTCTGGAGGTTCATGCTAGGCTTCCTTCAATGGAAACTTTCTATGATAAAGTGTGTCATGACTTCTCTTTAATTACTGGTGATGCACAGATATTTTTGTGTTCCTTTTGTGTGTTGTGTGGTAGTTTTTCACCCCGGATGTGTAGCCTTTCCCAGAATTGGGTGCTTGACAGGCGGTGGCGAATGCTGCCGGCTTGAGTCTTTTTGTTGTGTTTGGATTCAATTTGTGCCCTTTGAGTTTGCTTTTCTCAAGGGTTTCAGGTTTGCATATTTTTTATGTGAGTTAATTTAGAGCGTTTTATTGTTATAGTTCCGCTCCTTCCTTTGCCTTTATCACCAGTAAACATTATTTGTGATGTTATCGCAATCTCTGTATAGGTCTGCATATCACCTTACAGTAAATCCTTGTATCCTCGAGGAGATTGTTCCTGGCAGGAAGGCTTTTACTACTTTCGATCACTTTAAAATTTTGCATGCTATTGTTTTTTTCATAGTTTTCTACGCTGATGGACTGGACAATTAGGCATACACTGAATTAATGAGTAATCATGGGATAAACCTGGATAATTAGGGATAATTATCAACTTGTAATCTGGGGATAAACTTTTTAGCTCGGCGAATTTTCTGATTCAACCCTATGGAACTTGGAGGGAAGGACGAAAGGCCTCTGGAACTAAACAAGCCTCTACTTGTCACGAAAGAATGAGACCATTCACGAAAGAATAATCCGGCCAAGGGAAACTTATTAGAGCTCAAAACATTTAACACCTGCCTAATCTTTTATTGCAAAATTTCTGAGGAATGTTGTTCCTCCGTCTTCCAAATGATTGGGTTCCAAACAATTCCCCCGTCTTCCACATTCCGTATTCTTCCTGTAAATTCACATTTCTCAACTGCCTAGATTATTGATACTGCACTCCATGGGAGGTTGAAGCCTATTCAGTGTCGAGTTTTCGAGACTACAGGGGATGCAGGCAGCCAGATTCGGGTAACTTGTAAGGAGAACGTACCTCAAAAAGTTAAAAACACTTGAGCTTCTGAAACCATGGGAACTCTCTCAGTAGTTTCTCCATACTGAGGAAAACAAACGTATCACTACGTCATCCCACGGGCTTCTACTCTGCTAAACAGCATTTTGTAATATAACATTTCAGTAACTCTGCAGTTGATGGAACGTTAACTTTGCATTTACTAACCCATAAATCTTCACGGTGTGTCTTTGAGCAGAGGAACTAGTAGATGACAGCTTCTGTACTAATACTGGTTTCTAATTGAAAATAAAATCGAACTTCCAAAGAAAAGACATGTAAGGCAAATTTTATGCAAGCTCAGAATGCAAAACATTGACAGGAAAATGAAGATCAAGTCACAACACATTATATGTTTGATGAAGAAAGAAACTAATGACAAAGAAAGTATTGATACAAAGTTGTGCCGTAGGGCAAATCTTAAATTTTCCATTATCCGGAACACATTAGAACCGCACTTGTATTTGTCCTTCCCTTCACACTCCAAGGCTAGTTCATCAGAAAGGAATGGCAGTTTCTGCAATCAAAATATTCAGTCAAAACAGAACAAAAGATGATTAAACCATAAGTTCATTTTATCCATATTCTGGAAAATTTTTATTTCTTATGTAATTCTTTTTCCTTTCATTCACCATTAGTAGTAGTATAATTTATCACTAGCTATAGAAAGCACACCTTCGTCTGGGAGGTTGAATCTTCAATGCAGATAACCTAAACAGAAGCAACAGTCTCAAAATGTTCGAACACTTGTGACCATTTAAACAGGAACCGCCAATGAGCTTCATCAGTATCCGGAACTACGTCAGCGATCTCTTTCACAATCATGTCCTGAATATCATAGGAAATGATTTTTCCTCGAACCGAGATCAACAACTCGGTTGGTTTCAGTTGCTCATCCATAAGGCAATTAAGCACATAAAAACGCTGCCACCACGCTGAATGAGGAGCAATGTCAAACATTGATGAATACGGAGCACTTCTCAGTGGAGAAAGGTCAACTTGATACTTGAAGTTCCATCTTGAATAGTCCAACTCCAACTGGTAGATGTCAAGTAGCAATGGGTGGAAGTCCATCAACCTGACAAGAGATAAGCTATCCCCACACACCCCAAAATATATAACATCAGGGTGACGATCTACTTCCAAGATAGGACGACCTTGAGGAAGTGAAGCAGTGATTCGCTTTGCGCATCCTTTTTCAAAATTGAAGCAATAAGTGCCTAATCTCGAATCAACCCAAAACATATCTCCATTCCAAAATACTCCTTTCTTATAATACATTGTCATATTATTCCATAGCTGGTGATCAAGTACTGACCTGCTCTTACTCCAGAGCTGAGTGTCAGATGCATAGCTAGCGAATCTAAGGTTCCAGAAACCGCAGATGTATAGTAACTTATAATGATCAGACTGTGAAGGATCAAATGCAATATGCAAAGCTCCAAAATATCTATAAGTTTGAGGACGAATCATTGGCGACATAGAATCCTCTGTTTCAGAATCGCTGTCAATAAAACCCCAAAAAGAATCTTCTCCACCGGTCCCAGGAATCGGTGGAATAAGCCTACTGTGAAGAGTAGTGGGGTTATACACAACAAAATTGAGTCCACCATCGGAATTCTTTAAAACAATTGCTAGTAACCCATTGCAAGAATTAAATCCAACTACTCGATTAAGATCAAAGAGATTACTCAATTGCAAAACAGTGCTACTCATAGTACTTAAATACGATTCGTCAAGGGACAAGGAGTTGAGCTCCATATCAATTGCCCCCCTCCACAAGAAGTGGGCGCCTGTACGCCTCGGAAAACAGCGACGCCGGAAAGCGGGGTCCGAAATGATCAAAAGCCACTTCTTAGACACAGACTGGAAACGGATGAGGGGTTTAACAGGTAAACGTACCAGGATTTGAGTGAGGAGATCTCCATTCTCCGCTACAAAATTCGCCGATGTAATTGATGACTTGGAATTTTGCTCATTGAGGCTCCAGGTTCCACCTCGATTCCAATGCTCATCAGAATTGGATTTGGAGGAGGGACGGAGAGAGATCTGGTGATGGGTGTGGCAAACTAGGGTTTTACCCATAGATAGATTGAGAGATGATGATGATGATCCTTCCCTATGAAAGAACTGGAAGCATTTTGAGTAAAACCCGCCAGGATTAAGGCTATAGAATACCACTGCTGTTTAGTTGGCCAAATTTGTTTATCTATGTCAGAAATATCTTACCAATAATTAATTTTTACACCTCTCTTAAATGTCAATTTTGAGGAATACGGTCTTAATTGCAGTGGCCCTGGGTGTGGGTAAAAACCATATGCAGTATTCATTTAACCTTTGTGAATATTACTCTAACCGTCCCAAAATAATTATCTCGTTTGGACTTTTTTTTGGGACAATTGGAGTAATATTTACAAACGTTAAAGCGAATACTGTAAATGAGTTTTCCACACCTAGGGGCCGCTGCAATTGAAAAGAGACTTTTTATCAATTAGACATTTAAGAGATATTTAAAAATAAATGTGGTACTGAAAAAGAAAAAATACAAACCAGAAATCAGTTGTCTTCAGTACTCAAAATAAAATTCCAAATGAGAAAACCATTTCAAGGCAGAGAGAGTACATCTCACAGCATTATTGCAGGATTAGATTGGTATTTCGATAAGAAAAACAAGAAAACTCTTCACCTGAAAACTTGCATAAACTTTCTTCGTCTACTTAAAAATCACAAAGCTCTATGATTATGCATCACCAACGTGTCGAAACAAGCATCTTTTACCTAAGTATGCATATAAAAGATCGTAAGATTACTAACCATCAAAGAATAGATTCACGCATTGTTGGGAAAGCATGCATGGAAAATTGTTAACAGTCACAATCATTTATTATTCAAATTTTCAACATAAAATACTGGCCCTACGAAGGTATCGTAACAGCAAACTGTAAGATGGAAGTGTCTGAGCAGAACGTATACCAAAAGTTAGTTTGTGAATTAAAGAACACAAAAATGAAGATCCTGAGAAATGATCAAAATATGACCCAAAACAAATTACTACAGGGAAAAGGTTAACTAAATAGTAGAAGAGAGCGTGTATTGTTTAAATTCCTCAATAACAATGAAAATGACTATCTTTAAGGGGCCTAGGGACAATGATCTGGTTATTGTTGTTAGGCTCAAAATTCAGAATGAATATAATTTTTATGGTAAATATCAACATTAGCAATGAACATCAATCAAAAGCTAACCGTCCTTAATTACTCATTATTAATATAAAAAATTAATGTTAAAAAATTGCATTTCCATAATTATTTAGCAATTTCCTACAATGATGCCTCCACTACAATGAAATAGACCCTGACACCTGAGACCACCTCCATCACCTCCTTGTCATGGTAGCAGGAAGTGGTTACGGCCGCCTCCTTTACCTCCCCACTTGGTGTAACTTCTACTTTCTCCTCCACCCCCAAATCCTCCGCAAGAAGTGTAATCATTTCAATTTCGGAAATCTAGCAATAACAGAGAGAGAGTTTTGGGTCAAATAAGTATACACTCGGGATTTGGCTTTGGTTAATCAACTTACTTCTCTGTGATGAGATTTGGATCACTTTCTTAACATAGTTCTTGGCAAAGAAGCCAAATGGTGAACTGGATTAGTTCAGGTCTGCTTTCTGTAATTTTTTGGTACTTGAGACTTAAGAGGAAGTATCGCAACCCAAATCAAGAGCGGAGTTGCAATTTTACCCAGTTTTCAAAACAAGTGTATAAATGAACCAGTAAACTAAATGTAGAAATCCACAGCAACTTCTGACAACTAAGTAATCATATGAACAAAAAAGGATCAGTTCAGCAAAGACAAAGTTGATTCTTAAAGTTTAGGATTGAATAGCTTATGTTAATTCTTTATATATTAAATTGACCTCAAAATTGATATGGAATTCCTGTCCAATATAATCAATTATTTACTTTTCGAAGACTCTATGATGCCTGTTTCAGCCATAATTTAATGAATGACATGTTATAGTAACAATGTATGAATCATAACATGACAAAGGCACAGTACATCTTTTTAGCATCTGTTCTGAACCTACTCAATACAGAATTCATGCATATTCATTCTATAAGTTAAAATTGCATCCACTGCAAATTACAGCGGACAAAGAACTCACTACAAGCAAAATCCTACAACATAAAGGCTAACCAAACTACATAAGCTTTCTTTTTTGCTATAAAACTCCAGGCCAAAAAAGAAAGAATGGTTAAATACTAAATCATTTACCCACCAGAAGAAGAACAAAGAAAACATGCATTATATGCTGTGAAAGCTAACTGTCAGTGGCAATTCACAAAACAACACAAAGGCACTAAATAACAGAAAAGGATGAACGTTTGGATCCGAAGAACTTATGATAGTTGTCTTTTGAAACAATAAAATAAAATAAAAGAAAATCCGTGAAGCCATTAACCAGAAGAACTTTTTTTCAACTTAAAAAGTTTCCTAGAGACTAACAGTGTTCTTTATAATCATAATCTTGCAACTACACAGACAATGTCTGTCCTACACTCTGAACAAAGTGGATATTCATTTTTTGCCAAACATCAAACAAACTAATTGTGGAAAAAAAAATGCAGAAAGCATATTTCACGGACCTATATGAAGTTACATAAGCTCCTCAACATTGCATACTGTTACCCAAGTTTAGAAGTTCCAGAATCTCAACAGGAGAGTTTACCTTTACCTGCAAATGAAACACAGCATTGCAGCAACTCTTCAGAGGAAAATGGCAAAAACAAAGTGCGAGTCACATTTAGAAGCTAAATCATACGGTATTATAGAAGGTGCAGGCTAATGATCCACTTTTTAACCACCAAACATACGCAGAATACAATTTCTTATTGCACCCGAAGCCTTTCCTTTATTTAATCAACATTATTGGTGGGTTATTTCCATTACCAACTGATGTCGACGACTTAACAAGAAGAATTTAATCGGTGGGCAATTTCTTATATGCATTTGTAGATGCAATTCAATTCCTAGGCATTACAAGATTCAAGCAATACACTTCAATACAGCATTCAAGTATCACGATCATTTACCCAATTCAATTTTATGAAAGGGATTAACTGCAGTGAGATTACTCACCCGGATAGTATTCAACAATCCTACGATCACCTGTGAAGTCTGTTAATCAAACAGGTAACCATAGCACTACTACTATACCATATTAAATGAAACTTATGGCAGGGTGTAATAGTTTTTAAACTCTCTCAGTCGATGCAAATGCTTCTTTATCGAGTATGGAACAACAAGCAACTCCAAATGTTTCAAAAGAAAGAGATGAACTTTTAGCAAACAAATTTCAGAAAAAGACATATTCTCCTCAAGTTCCAAATCCATTTATACTTGAATGACCAAAGGAAAACCAAAGCTTAAAATCAGCTTCTCACCTTTTTCCAAGTTCTGAAAAATTCAGCAAAATAATGGTACAGAGGCCATAGCGGAAACAAAGTTTTAATCCACCCAAACCTCTGATTTGTGAACCATCAATGCCATTGTCAACTAGGATAAACAAGGTAGGACTTTATCCAAAGAAATCAGGTAGAACAGTTCAAAAATAAGGAGAAAAACTATCTCCCAAACAGAACCTCAACAAAGGTTCCAGAATTTCAGGACAGATTTATCATGTTCAAATCTATATTTTTCGCTCTTTTTGATGATCCGTAAAAACTGAGATAAAATCCATCAAGTATAGAAGATATTCATGAAAAGTAATCACAGAAAAGAGTTCAAGAGGTAGAAGAAATGCGTCTCTCAACAAAGGCACGTAAATCTGGATTTCTGCAGTTTCAGATCTTAAGTACATTTGCTAGGTTTCAAACAAGTTTTTGAGAAGTCCAGGACAGGACATGAGGGAAAATTCACAAAAAAAAAAAAACCGAAAAAGAAAACAGAAAGAACCGGAACTTTCAAAATAAAACATCCAACTGTAGGAAATCCTGTATACTCCTCCATCGTTCTTCCATCAGGGAAACCCATAAATTCAACTTCCATCAAGTTTTTCCATAAGAAATGCATAATTACCATGTCCTAATCATTCATATTAACCATTAATCAGTTAATTTAAACTATCGAACACACTTTTCTTAATTTAAACTATTGAACATACTTTTCTTTAGTTTCCGCATATAGTTCCAATAATAATATTCGGCCAACTCAAGATCAATATAAAAATCAAGCAAAATTCCTACTTGACAACTTTACCAATCCAACATGCATCAAGAAGGAAATTTAACAAACACATCTACTTCAATGCATTTTCCAGATTTTCTTATAAACTAAATACAACTCTAAATCTTCAAGATATCCATAAAAAAAAAAAGAAAAGAAAAGAGGACATTTTCTCCGTAAACGTTAACCTATTTGCCTTCTCCTCTTTCGGCTTCCGCCCTTCCTCTAACTTCCTCCGCTTTCTGTTCCGATCTTTCCTCATACCTCTTCTTTGATAGTTTCGAATTGGTGACTTGATTGTGTAGGCGGCTTGTGGAGAATGATTTCAAGTGAAAATGAGAATGGCCATGGAGAGTGAGGTAATTTGAGAGTTTCTCTTAATTAGGTCAAAGAAAGGCTTTGAAAAAAAAAAATAAAAAAAAAAATGTTTCCGCTCACGATCTCTCTCAAGTCTCTCATTTTTTCAAGTCGGCGGTCAAACTTACGGCGTTGACCAACAAAATCTTCATACTATTATAAATCGCGGGTCAAAGAACAAACTTTGACCAAAAGCAAAAAGAGGAAAGAGTTTACTACTACCCGTTTAGATTCTTTTTTTTTTCCTTAAAAAAAATAAGAATAAATTACGCATTGTTCTAATGAATTATCAAAGCATAAAGGCACAACAGCAGTTCGTGACGTTTTCTGTCATGGTATCAAAGAGGAAATGCTGAAGAGTGAAGACGAGGTACCGTTTTTTTCTACCACTACTGATATAGTATTGCTCGAAAACTCTAGTGCAGGTGAATTAAGCATATTCGGATCTACCCCGACCGAATCCTGACTAGTCGAAATAATGATTTCAGATACCAGTGTATAATAATAAAAAAGCAAAAAGTTTTTTTTTTCCCGCTCACAACAGTACTAATGATTAGAACAATAACTGTGTTACAGTATGGTCAAGAACACTTATGGATGCTTATTAATGTCAACAATTACAGCCATGGCATGGGCAAAAACAGAAACAAGGATGACCTATACATCTACAGAACCAGTCATCCTTTGATGTCAAAGAGAATGCTGATTTCAGACCCACCACAAAATTTGGAACGCTGGAGCTGGAAACGTTGTTTGCTCCATTTTGGTTAATTAGGTGAGAACCCAGTCTTCTGTTTCTTGTTGTTTGGAGATTCCCAGCTAAATCAACAGCTTCCGAAGACATGGTTGGAGCAAAGTTGATCCAAAGGCAAAAGACCAACATCAATGAAATGGACATTGATTTGTAGTTGGTTTTCGCCATTGAGAGAGACGCAGAGAAGATTGCTTTTGTGTCCTTTTTCCTTTGGGCAAACTCCTCCATGAAATTATATAGTCAAAAAATATTCTGCTTAAAATGGTTTGTTTACAAATATGCACTAATGACGTTGACATCCTAAATAGGATACATAATCTTTGCATTTAAGATTATTTACATGTCCCATATTATAGATGTTTTATGCACGTTTAAGAATGTAAATTAAATAAAGCCTTCGAGAATAATACAACTTTTGACCTTTAAAGTAATTAATGATAATGTTAGATAAAAAGTCCAGTTTGATGTCTTACCTCCATTAGTTTGCTAGCACTTCTCATGCTTAAAACTCTTTTTACCTTCATAATCTCTCTGGAACCAACTCACTAGGAAGAAGTGGATCCCCTATAACACGTAAAAGAAGGCACCATTCCCGCTAATACACACAGCTAAAGAAAGTACAAGAATAAGATATTTAAAGGGTGAAATGAAGAGCAAAAGTATCCAACACAAAAGAATGGCTAGTCAGAAAGATTTATAGGAAAGGGAATGTATACCTTCATTACAAACTTCTTCAAGTTTGGCGATGCCTTAAAGAAAGACGAAAGCCCAAACATGCCGTCTTCTTCTTCAATTAACCAAAGATGTAGAGACAGCTGCTTCAGCGCAGGTAGCTGAGGTAGTTTCCTACATACTTAATAACACGACGAAATAAAAAACGGTTCAAGATAGGAGGAAACAAAAATGATTATACACAACAAAACATCACTAAACTAATACTCCCTCCGTCCTATAATTATTATCCTGTTTAAGTTTTTATTTCTAGTTCAAATTGTACTAAAAATGAAATCTCAAAGTGGAGAATAATTTTGGAACAGAGGGAGTATTTCTTTTTGTCAATGCCATGAACCACAGAGATGGCTTAGCCCACTCCCATTGCAGTAAGTCAATAACTTGAACGCAGACTTGTTTATCTCCCACAGGGGTTTACAAGAAATCGCGGAGGACGTAAAATTACCATCCAGTCACAGAAAAAAAAAGTTTATAAAGAAAAATCATACCTCTCTGGCTCAGAGTCAGATATAAAGAAAGAACCTCGAGCTTGGAAAAGTGGCATGAAACTTCAGATGTGGATATCTTTCAATTTTCATCCCACCAAACCAATCGAGGATTTTATTGCTGTTTCTTCGTAAAAATTGAATCCAAAAACAACAATTTCTAAATTCACGAGTTTACAAAACATAAAATGAGTAAAACCTGTAGTGAAAAAAAAAAAATTAGTTTCTAACCTCGTGAGGAGGAGAATTGGTCTCAACCATGCTACCAAAAATCGGGTCAAGCATCCGGAGCCCCGTGCCGCAACACAAATCAACTCAACTCAGAGCAAAAATTATTATGTGAAATGAGTTCTTGCAAGAAGTTGTAGGTGAGTCCTTTACTTAAATTTTATTACTACAGTACTAAATAAGTTATTACCCCTTCTTACTTTTTCAAAGAACTTCTTTTGTTTGCAGGAAGGAAAAAGAAACTGGGGAAATCATTATATATATTAAAGGAAAGAAAGATAATCGACACGTGTCGCTAATTGAAACCATCAAATCTCACTTTCAACTGATTATCATTTTAGTTCTTAAAGTTCTATTTAGCATTGATATAAACTATGCTACCAAGAAGCATCCGGAGTCCGGTGCGCAAAGCCAATCAAGTCAGCTCATAGATTGGGAGGAAATTGGGATGAGTACCGGTAAGAAATTGTTGGTCTCCGAAGAATGAACTTCATTCTCTACTAAATTCTTCCTACCAAATAACCCTCTTCCTCCTTCCTTTGATCTGAGGAATTCTTTTTTTTTGATTTTATAAAGAGTCCACTTCTTCGTTTGCAGGAAGGAAAAGAAACTTTTGGGGAAAAATAAAAACGAGGGGAGTACAAAACTATGTACCTGCCAAGGTTGAAAAGTGTGGAATTATATCTTCTGGATCATGATGGGTTAGCTTATTCCCTCACAAAGCCCAAACTTTTACAATTTACCTCCATGCATTCCACAGGAAGTCAAAGGCCCAAACTTGTTCCGCTTTGGCAAACGGCGGCCTTTGTTTACACTTTTCCTTCCATCTTTGTTGATGATATAAGAAGATGAATCGTGAACTCTCGCTTCTCTCTCTAGTTTCTTTTCCTTCCTTTAAACGAATAAGGGCATGTCCTATTATTATACAAATCACAAGATTTTTTTTTTAGGTAAGTAATTGTGATGATAACAAGACGAATCGGGAAATCTCGCTTCTCTGGTTTTCGTTTTGCCAGTTCCTTTTCCTTCCTGGAAACGAACGAATGAGGGCATGCTGTAATATAAATACTCCCTCCATCCCATAATTATTGTCCAGTTTTACTAAAATGAAAGATTTTATTTTTGGTCAAACTTATATTTTATCTTAAATAACCAGATATACCCCTACATAAGTAATTGTTTAACCACTAAAATTTTATGGATAATGTTTTTTACTAAGGACAAATGTGTAACTTGATCCATAAAAAGTCAAATTGGACAATAATTTTGGGACAAAATTTTTTGGGTAAAGTGGACAATAATTATGGGACGGAGGGAGTAATTGTTAGATCTTGGAATAATCATCGATCGCAGGAAGAGTGTTATTGGCAGGATTTTATTTAAGGATGAGATCAATTCAATTTCAAGGGAGACGAAGAAGTTCTAACAAGGGCTCATCCTCCGACTTCGATGAGTTCTTGCAAGAACTCCTTCGGTTTGCATCCATTCTTAGTTGGTCGGTGTTGCGGGCGCGTCTCCGTATACTTGACCCGAATCTTGGATGCATAACTAAGACCAATCCTTACGAGGTTAGAAACTTTAAACATTCGCACCTCTTTTTGTGATTTGGTTGTTCTCTTTCTCTCTCTCTTTTATCCCCTTAATTAAACATGTGAAGTTTGAAGTTATTGTTATTTACCATCATTTTTTTCTTTTTTTCTGTTAGATTCTGGGATTTTGCTTGTGAGCTCATTAGTTCTATTTATTTTTTCGCTTCAATTTAGACCAAAGTTAACACTTTTGTACAACATTCAATTAAATTTTTGAAGAAATACCAGTAAAGTCCTCAACTTGTTATGTATGATGAAAAATGAAAGATATGCCCTTCTGAAGATCCATTGACCATTGTTATATTTCGAATTTCAACTTCGAATTTGACGGACGGACTTGTAATCCTGTTTTAACCCAATTTTGTCCTCCTTACTAGTTTGGACAAACCAATTTTCTTCTCACTCTATGGTCACTGTGTTGAAGTTAAGTCGGTCATTCCAATTCACTGATTAAGTTGCACTAACGAAAATTATCTGCGTCAAAGTTGTGGTTTTCTCACCAAGATAGTTCCTTTTTGGATTTGTTCTTTCTCGTCTTTCTCCAATATGTTTTGTTCAATTCACTTTGCTAATTTTTTTTTAAACACTAACCTTAGATACACAATACATACAAAAATGCATGCAAAAGCCATAACATCAGCACTTGGAGGCATCCACAATATTCACGATCTATGGCACTCCGACGCTTATTTTTATTCCTAATGATAGGGTTCATGGTTGCCATATTCAAGTAGGAATGTATATTATGTGTTTTCTTTTACTGTAACTTTGTTCATCAGATTCCTGTTGCGGTTGGGATGTGATGTAGCTGCAATAGTGATTTTGCTACTTATATCTCAATCTCATATTCAATTTGTTAACTTTGATTTTTAATTTAACTTATCGTTCTTTTAACAACAGCGTGTACTTGAAGATCGGATTAGTGAGCTTCCAGATGAAATCCTTAGTTGTATATTATCGTTTCTAACGCTCAAAGAAGCTGGCAGAACAAGTAGTTTGTCGAAAAGATGGAAGCATGTGTGAACTTATGTTCCTGATCTTGATTTTAACGCATTCACTACATTATGCGAGATGGTGACTGGGGAGGATTACTTGGACCGAATAATAAGAGAAAGACCCAAGTTTGTTAACTGGGTGAATAAGGTGCTACAATTCCATCAGACCCCAGTTTTGAATAAGTTCAGAATTTATTGTGATTTGCATGATTCCTATCATTCGAAATTGAATAAGTGGGTTCAATATGCCTTTGACAGGAGA